GCTTTTCGTCTAAGGTTTCAACCCTTACTAACTCATTAATTATTTTGGCAAAGGTTGGTTTGGGTTTTTTATTAATATTAGGAGTAGAAATTTCTTTAATAGCGGTTAAATATATAGCAGGGCTATACACATTTTCCCAGGGATTGAGGTACAATTTCTTATCATCAGTTTGGCCTCTATCCATATAATAGCTTTCGACCTTTTCCAAATCGTCCTCACTTTTGTAAGTATTGAAAAAGTCATCCTTATTGCTACTGTATGTTTCTTGAGAGATTTCTAATTTATCTTCACGTGTTTGAAGAATAGAGATTTTGTTACTCTTTCCTAGATATCTAAAGAGTAACTTTTGCTTGTCGAAATGGATCTGGCCCAGACTTTTTGGAACCAGTCAATGCCAAGAAGCATTGTTTTATTGAAAGACTCAATAACCTGAAAACTAGTAGGTATTAGTACGCTGCCCACTGCTAACTTTATGTTTTCTATTTTTCTTAAAGCCTGTTCTCAACTTCCATTGGCAGTAATAATGGTGATAGACAGTTCTTGAATTGCTAGACCCAATTTGTTCATTAGTTTTTTGAACAAAATACTTATAGCAGCTCCTAAGTCCAAAACTGCCAAAATTAGGATATTTTTAACCCGAATATAGCATTTGCAGCAGTAGTTTTTGAGCTCGAATTGGGGTCGGCCAGGTTAGTCTCGGCGACCAGGGTTATCTTTGAACAACGCAATCTTGGACAAGATTTTTGCGTTGCTTGGGTATTTGAAACATTTGGGCGTAGGTGGCATTCGAATGTTGATTTAATAAATCTTCAGTGATATTATATGGTGGTGCCAAATCAACCATAGAGGGTTCTTGGGTACGTCTTGGTCTCTTGACTACTTCTGGTTGGGGTTGAGCCAGGGTCTGGGTTTGCTTTTGGATAATTTCGTTCATAGAGATAGTTTGGATTTGTTGGGATTTCTGATTTTGCTCTGAGGCTACCCTTTTTCTTAATCTTTCTTTCTAGTTAGGGTTGGTCTCGGCGTCAGGTCTTTTTTGTCTTTTTATGATATAGAGTTGGTGGTCTGGTTGTGAGGTAGCTTTTACCTTTCTTTTGGGTTTCTGAGTAAAAATGTCACATAAGTTAATGTTAGGACGGGTTGGTCCTTCATTTTTGGCACGGGGGCTCTCCCAGGGGTTTAACGTTATTTGGAGAGGCAGTTTCGGCGATGTGGTCTCTTTCACCACAATTATAACAAACAATGTTACTACTGTTTGTTGGATGAGGCTAACAGAGTCTAGTTTGGTTATTTTGGAGCTGGACGGGATGATCTTCGATTCTGGCAGCAAGAGCGGTAGTCAATCGCTTACAATTGGTCGCTATCTGTTGCATTTGCTAGAATAGCTGGTCAATAAGTATAGTGGTGAGTTCTTCCTTTCCCCCCTTTTTTTGATAATAGTTGCCAGCCTCAATCTTTCTTGCTGCAGTAATTGCATCATCTAATGTTTTAGGATCGCTTATAGACATTAGTGCCACAGTTTTGCCATGAAAACCTCTAAAAACATTCTAACGATATAGGTATCTGGCAATTTATTATCTGGGTTAACTCTTTTTAATAATTTTTTAAATTGGTGAGCGAATTTATCAATTTTTTTATTTTCTTTTTGTGCCAATGTATTCAACTCGATTTGCCATTAATGTCTTCGCTCCGGGGTGGCAAAATATTTGATAAACGATTGGACGAAGCTATTTGTTGGATGTTTCTCATCATCTCAGAATAGAAACTTTTTCTTATTATCCTTATACCAACTTGCTACAATGCCTGATAAATGGCCTAAAACAATCTTGATTTTTCTTCTTAAGGTCAATTATTAGTATCTGCAGCTCTTTCAAATGCTTTTACCTATTCAATGTGATCTTTATCGTCGTCACCTTTGAACGTTCTTACATGGACCCAGTTATTTTCACATTCACTTGGCTGAACATCATACATTGCTACTTCCTGGAAGTCTTGGGCTATGTTTCTAAGAAGCTAGTGCACTTGGTTTGGGTTAGGTTGCTCATTATGTTTATTGGGCCTATCTTCTTCAGAGATTCCGTCATCTATGAGTGGTCTTAAATCCTCCATGATAAGTGGTTAATTTTAGTAGTTGGTTAGTTTTGTTTGTTTGATTTTTTTATTTTTTTTTTAGGTTTTAATAAAGGTGATAATTTTGTATAAATAGGGAAGTTCAATCTCACAGTCACCACCAAATGTAAAAGGGTAAAATAGTTTGAGCTGCGTCGGAATAAGTACTGGGCCAAAATAGAACAACTCACTACAACACTATATCAATAAACTATCTAAACTAGAACACTACAACTATAATAACCAAACCCCAATATTGGTAAGGCTACGATCAAGGCGTGGAAAGATTTGGTCTGAATAACCAGAGTTATTTTGGGTTTATAGCGATAGTATCGGGTTCAGATGAGTATTTTCTTCTTTAGTTTAGTGATTTAGTTGCTTCTGTTGTCTTTTTGCTAATATTTTATTTTCTTTGATGCTTTT